ATAAGATGCGGTATTCCTCGTGATATATTTTCAACATGAATATTAATTACTTTACATCCGATACCTCGTGCTGAATTAATAGCTAAAAATAATAAATTAAAAAAATCAGAATAAATAAATATTGAAAACAAAAATTATTTTAATAATATACGATGATTATACCTAATTCTAAATTTTCTCCTTGACGAAATATATCTAATTTTGTATCCATATTAATTGCACGTTCATCAATGGTATTTGGAACAGCTTTGTTAATCAATTTACTAAATAAAACAAAAAATTCATTTTCAATCAAGACTAAAATTTATTAAAAATAAATAACTTTAGACTATGTGTATAATTAAATGGAACATAATCATTTAATCAACTTAATCATATTTTACAAAATGAAAGAGTGTGAATTTCTGATAGATTTTTTTTTTGTGTTTTGTTTTAATTGCAAATAATCATTTTTTATAAATGAAATGAGTAAATTGATATATTTAACATACCAGAGTACAACACCATCTACACATCGTTGATAAAGTGCTTGTGGATCATTTGGATCAATTGGATTTTTTTTTAATTGTAAAAATGAATCATCAGCTAAATTTTTATTAATCCAATCGGTAAATGCAATACGTTCTTCAGTTGTTGCTGTATGATAAACGGATGACGTTGTTTCTGCTGAATTATTTTTTGTTCCTGTTTCATTTTCATCAAGTGTATTACTTCGAGTAAATCGTTCAACATTTTCTTTCTTTTTAACATGTGTACCATATGTAATTCCTACATTTGTTTGTGGTAAAAGATCGTAATATAACTAAAATAATAAAATTAAAAATTAAAATAATATATGAAATACAAATCTAAAGTAATGATAATTTTTTCTATTTTACCTTTTCAAATTCTTCTTTTGATATTTTTTTTTCACTTCTATTTCCATAATTGGTCTGTAATATATGAGTTAATTGATATTTTGGAATTTTTAAACTCATAGATTCTAATGCTTGTTGAACATCTTTGAAATCAATAAAACCAGAATCAATCTAAGAAAAATGATAAATAAACATAAAATAAAAGATACTTCAGATGAATTTCTTGTCAATTGAATGGCCTTTTTTTTCCACTCACAAATTTCATTGAATACTATTAAATTAATTCGATAATATACAATGATCTTCAACTCTTGTTCTAACTATCACAATTTGACACAGTCAAAAACTTACCATTTCAATATTTTCTCCTAATTTCTGCCAATTATCATTAGTAATTAGACGACTTTCACGAAGTGATGGATTTAACTGACCACTCAAACTATTATTACGACTTTGAGGAGACGACATATTTAATCTAAAAAGAATATATTTGAATATAAAACAAAAATAAAATTATGACAACGAATACTTTTTGTATTGTAAAGAATAATTTAATGATTAATGACAATTTATTAATAATAGTCTTTAACCATTTTTACATAGGTAAACAACAAATTTGACTTCATACCAAAGAAGGTAAAATTCGTGGTGAAAATTTTTTCTACTACTAGACCACTTTATCGATCTTTATCAGACTCTTCTCTTAAAAATAGATCGTCTACTTTTAAACAACAAAGTAGACAAATCTAAATATTTTACGTGCCCACACAATCAACACGATACGAAGAGGCATTATTCATCGTCTATTGAATTTCATCTATCTATTAAACAATTACGAGATTAACAATGTTATTTAAAAATAAAAAAAAAAAGGTGTATGTATGCAGTGCAGCGAAACAACTACTATCAAGTTCTCTTTCATTTATTTTCTACGTTTCAAATCTCTCTGTGTTTATTAGAGTAGTGAAAAGTTAACTTTATTTTGGAAGAATCAACAGGATTTCTACTTATAAATTGTAAGATTTTTGAAAACTAACAAGCTTACCATAAAAAAAAAAATTAAAATTATTATGTTCGAATATTAGAAGAAACGAAATATATTTATTAATACAACAACTCAATCGTAAACAACATAAACAAATGATTATTACGTTAAAATGACTACTCTCTCTTTTAATCTTCCATTAATATATGTGATATTTTTGAACAATATTTGCATTCAATTTTATTAAGAACAACATAACAAATAATAATGAATGATTCATAATCGTAAAATAATGACGATAAAATGAAACATAAAAGGAGAATGAGCCATGTCTGTCTTAAGATTTTATTACATCGTTTTTTTATTTTTTACTCACCTCGTAATAAAGAAGAGAGAAAAAGAAAAAAACGAAGCCCACGGTCTATATGCCATACCAACGCATGTATCTATATATATATGTATATATAGGTGGCATGAATCATGTTTTACTAAATTCTTTAAATAAACGAAAAGAAGAACAAGGATAAAAAAAAAAAGTTAAATAAAAATTTGAAGTAATTTTTTTTCATAAAAATATATTTGTTCAAATTTTTAGTTTATAGCAGCACTAACATGTCAACGATTCAAACTTATTTAGTTGTCTATCGAAAATTTTTTTTTTCTCCAGTAAACAGTATGTACGCATATGTGTACATACTTGACCTTTCTCTTTTTCACCTTAATTTGTTTCTTTGTCCTCCTATTTCGAATGTATGTTATGCATATGGAGAGATCAAAAAAAAAACAGAAAACAATCTCTATCAAAATAGAAAATTTTTGATAGTGAAACCTCGATAAAACACTTACTGTTAAAAGATTTTCCTCGAATAGAATAATATTTTTTAGGCGTGAGTAGGTGAAAATTAAAACACCTGACGTTTGTTGTTTTCTTTTTTTGGTTAAACTCTTATCAAATTGAAAAAGAGAATGAAAAGAAGTTTAAAATAAAAAAAAGAAGAAAAGAATACTAGATATACGCGACATGAGAAATTGTAGATACTGTTTGCGTAAGATAGTATTGACACATATTCTTTTCAAAAAATAAAAAAAAAGGCCTTCACGTTTTCTAATTGTTACCTTCGAAAATGAGTATGCTATGTCTAGAAAAGAGAGCATACAAGTCATAAACGTGGATTAATCTTTTTTTATGACTCTTTTTTTTCTTAATCTCGTATACACTTTTCAAATAACAGCCAAGTACAATTGTCACTTACCACCGTTAAAGATATTATTAGTTGTACGATAGATGATGGAAAAACTTGTTGTTCATTTTCTACTTATATACACACACAACTAAAAGAATTTTTCAAAACCAATAACATCAATTTTATTATTTTTTTTTGCATGTAAAACGCAAACTTTTTGGACAGTCGATTTGACTAGACACATATAATTCCACTGAGTAAGAAAATATCGACACATGCATTCCAACAAGGAAAAAAAAATAATTAAATGTATTTTTTTTTCTTTTTCTTTGGCTCTGTAATTAAAAGGCATTGTACATATAATCAATCAACTAAATAATAGTAGACACACAGTAGTAGTCCCGAATAGAAAAAAAAACAAAAACGAATAGTCCCATTTGATTTCAATTGAAAATGATTGAACATCTTGTTAAAATGTACTCTATCCATCTATCTATACTATAAATATCCTAAGAATGAATGACATACTTCTAATAAATGTATAGAATAAACGTTTTCTTCTTCTTCTCATTGATTAAAATGATTAACTAACATAAATAAAATGTACATTCAACTTACCACTTACACTTAAACTTTCATATCTAACAAAATGTTATTTTAAATAAAGATGTATTTTCAAAATAGAAAAGAAAAAAAGAAGAAAAAAGAAAAAGTTTAAAGTTAAATAAATTATTTTAACACAGATGAACGAATCGATGAGATGTTGATACAATTATGACAGAAGTGTCCACAATCTGTCATTCTGTTCAACTATTTATCTTTTCTGCAATATACAATGTTTATTATACATAGAACAAAATTCGACTATTTTGCAAATAGACTTTTTAGAAATTAATTTGAATATAAAAAACCGCTTGATTGACATCTTATTATATACTACATACAAAAAACAAAAAAATAGAATATCTTATAAACTTGAGATTATATCAGTCGATGAACATCAAGCATAATCACATATTTAAGATATTCATTCTGAGAAGAAATAGTCTATAATAATTTTATATCAGCATAAAAGTCATTAAAATAAAAAAAGGATATGTAATTGGAAAAATATTTTAAAAGAGAATGCTATTAGGTTGTGCCAAGAGAACGTTTCTAATTTTTTTGAAAACGTAATTTTGTTCAGGTTGAATAGAGAATGCATGAAAGTCTAATAAGAGGTTAATACTTGTAGAGTGAGCCAAGACTATGTGATAGACTTACAGCAGTATGTACTAAAGAAATTTTATAGTTATCACCTTTATAAATATATACGGTCAACTATATCAAATGTGTACACTTCATTTTGACAAATGACAAGACGAGTGTGGTATTTTGTTAAGAATTTCTTAAATACTAATTCATTGAACGAATATATTTAAAAAAAAAATGTGTTTCTCAATTTTGCTCACAACAACACAACAATTAAACTCAGATTAACATATCGTTGTTCATCATACAAAAAAATATGTTGAGTGCGACAATTTTCAACTTCAAGTAGCAATCAATGATTTGAAGTAAATTTTCATTTGTATATCAAAATAACATAGTGATGACATTCGTAGTGCATCCATTTGTCAAACATCATCAATCCGTTAAATTGTTGTTGTTAGGTTTTTTTGAAGAAAACCACTTTAAACTCGTTAATCTGAAGATTCTTATAGGTAGGTAGTCGAGATTTTCAGCTTCATAGCTGTCGAACCACGCACAAAAATCTTAAAAATTCAAGTATTTTAAAAAAAAACAGATCAACTATCAAAAAAGAGTTTTTATCAACGACACAGAGTATAAATTGTTCTTTTTTAATATTTCTATCTCTTTTACATGATGAATACAACTATAATGACCGTTAATAACCATCTTCTTAACCAACTAATTTTATTCACCCGAAAATGAACAATTTTGAACGTCATGATTGATGATAACGTTATATTGTCATATTTTTTATATAAAATGAGTTATTATTTGAGAATAATTGATTTATATGTCAAAAGTATAATTTATTCTCCTTCTTAAATCATCGACTCTTCGAAATAGATTTTTGCTAGTACTATCCAACAATTGTAGAAAAACTTTTACTACCTTTAACAGTTAAAATAACATTAGACCATTATAATAATCTTATCAATATTTTTATCTGCAAAAACATGGCAAAGATGTGAAATGGTAAACACATGATGCACTAACTAAGAATTCTCACAAATTTATCAACTCGTACGAAAATTTTATTTTGACAATAATTCTAATAAAAGTAATCGACTGTAACAAATCTGACAACAGACAAGATCTCAAAACAAATTACTACACTGTTTTTAACAAGAACAATTCAATAGATTAATGTTTTAACAATTATTTAGCGCAACAATGACTAATAAATAATAATAAAAAAAACAATAACACATCAAATACAAATTAGAATAAATATGATAATATTAGAATTACTATTTCTTTCTTTCTTAATAGCCACATGGACACATACCCTCATTTTTTCTAAAACTTAATTACTGATACAAATTTCGCCTCTTTTTTTTTTCTCAAGAAAAACCAATAATACACTTTTCTATTTTCTCTGGAATGACATCTCCAAAAGCGTATTTCTCTCATCCAATGTTGAACAGAAGATATTCCTTTTGGCCAAACACGAACAGAAGAACTAAAAATAGAATGTAAGGATAATATAAAATTGAAAAATTTAAGTTGAATAGAGTCGCAATACCGTTATCTAATAAAAACATGAATGTATTTAAGTAGTATTAAACAATGCCTGTATAACATTCTTTTCCCGCAAGATTATCTGATTACTGGCGCCTTGGCGCTCGCTGTAAGCAAAAGATTTATAACTTAATTACATTCATATTTTTATGAGTTAACGTTATTGCGACACCATTCATCTTACATTTTTCAATTTTATATTATCCTTTCATTCTATTTTTAGTTCTTCTATTCGTGTTCGGTCCTGTGAGGATAGACAGCTTTAAACACTGTGACTTCCTTATTCACACTCAGCTATTATCAAATCTCTTGCTATGACTGACAGTAGAGTCTCACGACATCGCAACTTATGCGTAGTATAATTGCAATCTAGTTTTCTTCTTTCGTTTATCTTCATTATAATTCTCTATTCGATGATATTTTTTGCTCTATAAATAAATTTCTCAAAAGAAAACATTAGCGTCGCACAAAAAATATGTAAAAGTTATCTAATTTCAAAACGCATTTTTCTTCCATTTTTGGACCTTATTGCACCGAATTTGGACCGC